GGGGGGGGGGGGAGGTTTGGGGGGGGGGGGGGGTTGGGGGGGGGGGGGGGGGTGTTGACTGGAACTTTATTCGTTAAGTCTGATTACATTTAATCGTTCAATGGCTTGAGTAGACTAGAGAAGATTGTAATAATAGTTATCAGGTTTCTTATCTTTTTTAAAAAAATGTACTATTGTTTTTCATGAATTAATTTTAGCACAATAAATGTATCTACTCTAAAATAAAAAGCACTTTCTGTTTTTATTAGCTTAAAAAAGATATCCCAAGCAAACATACATTTTTAAAATAATAATCTTTTTCTCAAATAAGTCATTTTGTGACTTGTCACTCAAACCTGCATTAAAGATAAATCTGTAGGTGTAAGCCTACAAAAAGTATTCAGTTTTATTTTTAAAATGAAATTATATTATACTAGGGTTCTAGCCAGTTACACTTTTTTTACACTGGGCACGGGTATTTTGGGACAATACCTGGTGGGTCCAAGTGTTACAAAAAGGGGTTAACTTCTAATTTTCTACAATATATGGCAGGCCTTTAATCAATAACCCACAGAAGGTCCTACACTTCTCCCGTGGCTTTTCATTGATTGATTTATACTAGTCGCCCTATACTAAAGAAATTTTTTACCTGATTTTACACGTGACGTAAGTCAGCCTTTTTTGTTCCACTCAGTACTATTGATATAAAACATGTGGAGTAGGGGGAGGGCGGTTTCGAAAAGGTAGCAGGACACACCAGAAGCAAAGTGTATATAAGAGGTGCACATATTGCTGTATTTTCTCCATTTTTACACACACAAAAAGTGCATTAAAATCATGAAAAACTAATATGACTAATGATGGCATTATAGCATGTGTCTTGACCTAATTTTACTTCAACGTAGAAGTAGAGCGCCAACCACACCTCCCCACTTTTGTTTGTGTTTTGATAGTGATGTCACTGATTAAATGTGTATCGCTGTACCGACCCCAACCCTCTCTTGTTTGGGAAAATGTCGTGTAGGTTCGAAATGGTTTGTGCAATTTTTAAATTGTCTGCATATGACATAAATCATACATGCTCGTGGACTGCACTTATTGCCCAGGAATACCATAACAAACAAAGCCAATAAAAACATGAACAAACACAGGCATGTCTGGTACAAACGTCCACTGCCTTACAGCTACAAGCCCCAATGCTTAGTTGTAAATGGAGTAGGACAACACATCTTATAGTTTTACACAACTACCGTATGCCTAAAGGGAATCTTATTATTTTTTTAGTTTTCTAATTATTTATTATATTATTTATTATATTATTTATTTTTTTTTTCGGGGGGGGGGGGGGGTGCGGCGGGGTGCAGCTTTGGCGCCCCGGGCATTTAAACATTGTGGGTTCTTTTTTTCCTACAAATTTTCAGGTCGATATTAACAGTGCGTAATTTAGAAAGGTGCTGCTGGAGAAAACTGATTAAAAGAGTTATTCAATAAAATGTATATNGACGAAATCCACATAGCCTGGGATTATTATACTTGAAGGATTATAAGCTGGTTCCCAACAGCAAATCGCCTCTCTCCACGCCGCTGGGTAACCCAAGGGAACATCATTGGATGATACAGCTTGGCACCAGTGGCGTCGCAGGAGTTGTCGGAATGTTTCATTGTATCAATGTTATCCGCCTTTCGGGACTCCATCTCCGGGTTTGATTTCAGAGTTTCCTTCTCTTAGATGGGTTGCCGTCCAAGGCTTACGAGTCCCATATATATATATACACATTAAAACATTACAATTTTTAGATTTTATAATTTAAAAAAATTAAAAACTTATCTTTTTGAAATTAAAACGGATTTTTTTTTTTGTAAAGGGGGGAAACTCAAAACAGAAATTAAACAACCCTTAAATATTTTTTTTTCCTCCATATCAATCCTTTATACAAGGTAATTACGAGCAATGGGGGGTCGGGCTAATATTTTGACAGAACAAGCATGCAAGTAAAGCACTTTATAAGAATACCAATTACTGCCCCCACCCAGACTCGATACCGTATATTTCTTTCGCCCCTGAACACAGATAAGATTCTTATGAACAATCCACTGTTGCACCGCAGATTTATTTACGCAACTTTTTCATTAAAACAAAAGGAAAATATTCGCACCAAACGCAATGATTTTTTAAAATTATTTTTTTTAGAATCTCATTTAGCGCAGTTATAGAGAATTTTATTTCGTGAAATCAGTGGCATCATATTTCCTTCGCCCCTTTGAAAAACTGGAAAAGCTGATTGTTGGGGTTGGGGAGTGGGGGGCTGAAAATCTGAAAGAATATGTTGTCACCGGCAATGAGTCTATGTGCCAAGTTTCAGCTCGATGGGTTGACGGGAGATGTGTCCATTACGCCGTCCGAAGTATTTGTCCTAAACATGCAAAATTGAAGTTAATATAAAGGGTTCAAAAATGCCAATTTTTCAACGCGCAATAACTAGACAATTTTCAAAGTTTTTAAATCACAACGTATATTCATTTACACAATAACCAGTGTACTATCCTGCAAGCAAACATTGCTGGCTGTTGCCGAAGAAAAAGGCACGTATGACGTCATCCCCACAATCTAGTCAACATTTAACATCGTTTCCAATAAACATCTCATCCAAAGATGTCAGCCTTCCCGAGGTTAAATAAGCTCTTGATAATTTTTTTTGATTAATTTTCGTTTTATTAAAAAAAATGATTTCTCCAGTTGCAAAGCTGAATCGCATTTTCAGCAAAATTCGAAAAGAAATTACTATACGTAAAGATCATTTAGAATCGCACAATATAAAGATCATTTAGAAAAGCACCACGTAAAGAACATTTAGAAACACCCCAAATAAAGATCAATTAGAAACGCACGACGTATAGAACATTTAAATGAAAGAAAAAGAAACACAGATTTATTATTATCTTTTAAATTTCATTTCAGGACTGGCGACACGAGCCACATCGCATCTGATCGACCCCTATGTCTGTGACGCCTCAGAGTATATTATATGTTTATATATTATAATATCACATAAAAAAAATTCTAGGTGCTCCTTGCGGAGTCCAGTGAAATTTCTGTTTAACGTTTGGCCTACTTCCTGCATCTACAAGTGTTGAGAAATTATTTCTCAGAAGCAAGAACGAAGTTTTGTTTATAAATGTAATTACATGTCTTTGGGTCATTAAAAAGAATGAATTTAAAAAAAACAACTTTTTTCCGAAGAGTAAAAACAAAAAGAGGACAGGCTTTGGGTAAGGATGATGCGTATATCATCAATAACAAAATAATCTCCAGTCAATTTAATATCCAGTCAATTGATTTGTGAAGAAAGAAAAAAAATACGATTTTGCTTTTTAATTTACTCTTCATAATCTAGAAACCACACAATTATATGACGTCATGTTTGCGTATGACGCAAAATGTCGCCTGGGTTGTTCTAAGATTGAATGATTTTTATAAAAAAATACAAAAATGGAGGTTTTGTCTTGACAAAAATAATGATAATCACGTTGTTTCCTCATGGAGCACAGTGATAACAAGGTAAGTCTTGAAACCGATGCTCGCAGAGTTCCCATATGTCAATGTCATGCCGGTAACTGAAAAATAGCTGCGAATTTCTTACAATATAGGCACACATCACACATGCACACACTTCTCTTGAGGCTGTATAAATAAAGTGCAGTTCCTATGATTCTTACAACGGTGTAGCTCTCGAAAAATGATATAAATTCGACATATATTTGGAATGTACCATTTATTCAGTTATATTAATGACATTGGAGCAAATTTAAGATGCCAATAACGTATCTTCCACCATATACATCGCAGGTAATGGTACAATCACTGGTCACATTTACATATCGCCATCAGTCTCATGCAATGTTATCTCTTGTCTCAGAACTAAACCAATAGCTGCCTGTTACGTTTCACGATGAAATTCTTTAACAGAACTACTTTAACATTGAACATGTTGTTTTAACTCGCCAAAAAACTGCCTGCAGTTCACAGAGGGATGCATCAAATGATGTAATTTTATACGACTTTTTATATATTTTAAAAAACAAATAATTCAAATAGAATTTAATTAAAGCTAGATATATATTTGAGGGCACTTACAAATAAGAATTATTAAGTAGATCATTCAGGTGCATCACTATTTCTGCACCTATTGTAGTCGCATGGGTGGACTGGGCCGCCGGGACACCGGGAAGATTCCCGATGGGCCGCTAGGACCGGTGATATAATAAAAATAAAAGTCATGAAGATAGGGCCACTTTTTTGTTTTTTTCCCGGGCCGCTTGAACTCCCCAGTCCACTCCTGTGTAGTCGATCATCGCCATTGGACAACTTCGATCACGCACAGATTTAAAAAACTCCTCTGCCTCCACGCACATCGGCCACTGTGCAGATTACACGAAGCTTTTTTTGTTATTTTCGGGAAAGTGTTTCCATTTTGGGATAATTATTTAATCAATATGCCTCAAACTTGACATAAAACAAATAAGTTGTATAATTTCTTTTCGATCCGTGCAATTTGTAGCAGCGATACAGGGAAAGAAGATGATCTTAAGACAAAATTTGAAGGAAGTTTTCCTTCTTATTGATTGGAAGCCATGTCTAGAAATATTTTATTTCTCTAAAATACAAGGTAGCCGCAACTTGTGCCTAATCCTAGCTTTCATAAGTTATTTTTAATTATTCGGATACACGTACATTTTATTCTCCAGAAACCTCCAATAGACGATAGAAGCTCAAGCCCAGACCCAAATAGTCTGCCTCGCTCTCGCAAAACCGATGAGTACAACCACAGCCCTTACAATGACCACGGCCACAGTCCTTACCTTGATGTCATCGAAACTGTCCCAGGGGTTAACAGCAAGCCCTTCCTACCACCAGAAACACTAGACATCGTGGATGGAATACGCCCATCGAGCAGCAAGACCAGGGGCGTGTCCCACCTTCCTGCCATCGAGGAATCTTTGTACGAAGACAGAGACGAGGTGGGGCTCGGCGAGTCGCGGTCAGCCTCCTCAATATCGAGTCCTCGGCTGCCATCCTTGCCGCCATCATCCCTGTCGCTCAACTCGAAACACTCCCCATTAAACCGCGTGAGCTGCAAACCAGCGCTGACGAGCATATCAGAGGAGTTCATCCCGAGGATTTCTGAGAACAATCCCGGTGGTCAAGCGTCGCAGAATGATGACGTGGCGCAAGTGTCCATCCGCAAACGCAGCAGGTCGCAGTGTGATGAAACAAAATATCGCATCCTTCAAGGCTTTGGTGACGTGGCCGCGGTCAGAAGCAGAGACGTGACCCACGTGAGAGTACCTGACAACTTGATACAGCCCGCCTTGCAGCGCAACGAAAGCTTGTTCGCCAAACCTGGCCTGAAGGTGCGAGCAGGCGGTGAGGGGTATGAAGATACATTCGGAAATGTCGATATCAGGACGTCAGAATGCACGGAAGAGCTTCGCAGAAAGCTTTTACAGCTGGACACGTCTCATTTGTGGGGGTATTTCGACGAGAATCTGGAGCAAGCCACACAAGATCGCTGCAACAGTCACCCGACGTTATCAGACACAACGTGCGACGGTGCAGGCAACAAGGAGCAGGATGGGGCTTCTAACTCGGCGGTCGATCATCCCGAGCCGACCCCGTCAGAGACCGTACCTCTGAGTGACGCGAGCTACGGAGCAGACGGTGAAGGCAACTTAAGCCAGCAGTACTATACCCTGGGCGAAGGCTCTTACAACGAGGGGGAAGGTTCCCAACAGATCAGCAGGGCAGCGTCTTTGCCAGGGGAATGGCAGGGGGCCTATCTCAACAGTGGTGACCTAGGCAATGAATCAATGTTCTGTAGGATTGGTGAGGAGCAAGTCATCCCTATTGGGGATATTATGACAACGTATACAACTGTAACCACGCAAACATGCGTCTTCAAGGTAAGCATAAGAAGTATTTAATTAGTATCTTCAATCAGGACGCTTAACCAAAAATAAGACAAAATCACATTTGGTAGTAACATTAGCGTGAATGCAATAAAGCGTGAGCATTTGACGAAGCAAGCTGCCATCGCAAGAGCGTTTTGCTGTACTTATGTTTCAAAGTTAGATGTTCATCCCTGCAATTTGAGAATACTAATATTCAAAGCCTTTCAAAATATTCCAGCACGTTTATACAATTGAGCCGTAAGATTTATTATGTCTCAAAAGTTTATAGATTTAGATATTTAAATAAAGGATTAAAATATGTAAATCCCATATTACGATCGGAGTCTTCAGTACAATGATGTTCAATGAGACGCAACGCCTGATATGTACACTTGTTTCAAGTGCAAAACGAAAATAAAAAAGTAAAACATTTAAAAAATGAATTTATGAACATATTTTGTTCATAAAACAAATATTTTGATTTTCCCGATCCCTATTCATTTAACGCACGGTTCTGCCGTCCTCCGGAATAACCTCTGCACAGTTTTGAACTGCCCAAAGTTGTTTTAAGACATTTGCGAGTCGTACAGTGGCAAGACACAAAATCTTACCAGGCTCTGGATGTTGAGAATGCTATTGAAACTGTATGAAACCAATGCATCTCAAGGTGTTTGTTTGCGCATACCATCCGATATCTTATAACGTCTAAACACGTGGCTATAGGACCATGCAGAGGAGATTTGGGCCCCGAGAAAATCCACACTTTCTGGACCAAAAAAAAATGAAAATAATTGTATCAAACGTTTTGTGAATTTGTGGCAAAAGATACTTAATTAAAACACTAAAAAACGGTGCTATTCTTGCCATCTGTTTTCCAAACTCGTTAATTTTATTTGAAAATATTCCGCGTCAAAATAGATTTAATACATGAAAGATCCGATCAATGGTTCCCTCCTCAACCATACCTTATCTCATAAAACTTTGTATCAATTTTGGATAGCTATGTGCCGTAACCTGCATGTACTATTATTTAATTATGTCTTCATTACATATTTGTCTCAAGCTAATTTTACGCATTTCGCTCTCCGTCTCCAGCCAGTGTGCATAGCAAGTCTCAACATTTACATAAATCAAATCGTCCTGGGCTCACTCTGCGAAGTCATAGTTCAATTGGCCATCAAACGTGCTTTCCAAGAAATCAAAAAGGTACCGTCGTGTCACAACTAGCTTTTAGGCATTTGATTTTGTTAAAAAGAAATAAGGCATGCTAATGTTACGCTGTGACCTTTACTTGTGTGAAACACGGTCTGTGACCTTTACTTGTGTGAAACACGGTCTGTGATCATCTCGTCTATTGAGCGCAAGAATGTTCTAAGTGCCAAACCCAAAATTGTCTAAAATGTAGATTTATTAAATGAGCTGTAACAGGCCCACATCCTTCCATCCCTCCACCCCAACTGTTTTGGACTTTGTAATGCGGCCATGTCGAGTATTTCATATTGAATATTTTACATTATTTTCATAAGAGGTCGGAAAATTACAAAACTCAGTGCTGGTAAATTTGGCGTTAAGTGAACTCTTGCTCTGGATACACGATTTGGTGACATTAAAAGATGCGGTGGTTCCACCCGGCACCTGCACTCACCTCCCAAAGTGTAATGTGTGAAGCAATGTGTGAAGCAATGTGTGAAGCAATGTGTGAAGCAATGTATGAAGCAATGTGTGAAGCAATGCGTGAAGCAATGTGTGAAGCAATGTGTGAAGCAGTGTGTGAAGCAATGTGTGAAGCAATGTGTGAAGCAATGTGTGAAGCAATGTGTGAAGCAATGTGTGAATCAATGTGTGAAGCAGTGTGTGAAGCAATGTGGGAAGCAATGTATGAATCAATGTGTGAAGCAGTGTGTGAAGCAATGAACGAAGCAGTGTGTGAATCAATGTGTGAATCAATGTGTGAATCAATGTGTGAAGCAATGTGTGAAGCAATGTGTGAATCAATGTGTGAAGCAGTGTGTGAAGCAGTGTGGGAAGCAATGTGTGAATCAATGTGTGAAGCAGTGTGTGAATCAATGTGTAAAGCAATGTGTGAAGCTATGTGTGAAGCAACTGTAGGCCGATTGAGAGAGAGCAAACAGATATTGCCTTGAAATAAGATTAATACCATATATGATCCAAGTCTGGTACTACTGCTTGCAATTATCTATTGACAACGGATATGTTAGTAAATATAACAATATTTAATGTTTACAAAGAAATATTTAATAATTAAATGTTGTGGATAAATGGCGTGGTAAGTAAAATCGGATTAATAGCGACTTAGCCAGAAAAGGAATAATTTCATGATAGGCGAGTTCCGTTGCACGGTGTCCTCAGGGGCATAATTTCAGGTCTTTTCAAAAGGGGGGGGGGAGGGGTGGCAAAACTTGGTCGGGTTGTTAAGTTGTTTATTACTGGTGGCACCACAGTACATATCAATTAAATAAAACCTGCGAATTTTGGGGGGGGGGGGGGAATGCCTAACTCTACCCTACCCAAATGATGTCCCTGGGTGTCACTGACGTTTATGAAGAGGAGTAAAATATGAGTTTCAAAAAGATCTGGCCTAAAATTAGAAAGGATTTTTTTAAGCTGATCATAGTCACAATAATACCTAATAAATTAATACTCTCCAGGACTACGGTCAGTTTTAATTAAAGAGTGTATTTTGTTATTTTCCAAGAAAAAAATGTTTAAAACACCAGTTAATTTTTTTCAATGAATTTGTTTATTTAATGAAATACCATGTTCCTGACATCTATTTAGAAACCAAGCGCACCGCCCAAGAACAGCCTCGCGGAAGAAGCCGATGGCACCAAAACAAACTATACACCAAACTCCAACAGGCCCAAAAACTCTGGCTCCGACTCTGTGATAGCGGACACCGCCCTGAGTAGCGGGGATGTTTCCATGCCGAGAGAATCGTTCTCTGAGCACACCACCGGCTCGGCGAGCTCCGAGCGGCAGGACAAAGAATTCAAGGATAAGGAATCGAAGAAACAGAGAGACAAAGACATGGTCTCCAAACAACGGGGTAGAGAGCGGGAGAGAAACAAACGCAAGAGAGACCGCGAAGACAGAGGTATCTCCCCGGGTAAACAGAAGTCGCTGAGGAACGCCGTCGGTGATATTCAGCGGGTGGAGGACGAGCCCGGGGCTGGTGAAAAAATTACCGGGATGATTGATTTCGGGTTTCGTGAAAATGCCAAGGTGGCCCCGCGACAAACGGGGCAAGCGATGCGAGGGAAGGAAGCCAGTGAGACTACGTCAACAGCAATCGGCCAGACGAATGTTAGAATAATTGATGTGACGAAATTCGTGGAGGCTTCAGAGAGCTCTAACAGGAACGAAGACTCCGGTGATGTACGGGACCACGCGATGAAAACGACCTGTGGGCTCGAGTCTCAGACTGTGACTTCGCAGAGTGACGATTCTTCAATGGGCGACAACCAGACATTCCGAGGCAGGCTGAGAACCACCGACTCGAACGAAACCCAGAGTGAGGATGACAAGATGGGTGAGGAGGCCCCGTGGAACGTAGAGGCGATTAAAATGTCCACCAGCCGTTTCGGTAAACGAACATCACACCACAGACAAAAACAACTGGGTGGCCCGAACACGCAGGTCAACCTGTCCACCAGTCCAGTCCTGAGTGAGAACACAAGCCTGACCCGTGCCTCGCGTTCTGAATCTGAGAAAGACGTGAGTGATTACAACGACGTTAGTCGTCAAGACATTGAATCGGCCCCGAACTCTTCAGCACTGCAAGAATTCGGAACGATGGGGCCCATAAATACTGCAGATGACGTCACCGACAGCACATCGCACGACTCGTGTCTAGAGAGTGGTTCACTGAATAGGCGAAAGGAGTCTCTCCACTCAACGTCTTTTGCCAGTATTCTAGTGTGTGCCGTGTTTAACGAGTCCTTCAACCACCCGCCAAAGTATTCTGCTGAAAACGTTCAAGGGGAGTGGGATCATAGTAGCGAGTCTCAAGCCACGCCGCTGTTAGAGAGCAACGCAGTGGAAGAAGGGGCACGAAGTGGGGGGTCGTTGTTGGACCTCAACGTTTCTGTGGAAAACAGTGAAGATACCGCCTTGATAGATGCAAACGAAACGTTCACCACTGTGGCCGAAAGCGCGCACGACGACGTGGCAAGGTTGCCGTCAAGTGACGGGGGAAAAGGAGCTCGCGATGGAAAGCTTACAGAGATGCATTCCCCTTCTGACGTCGTCTCGGACTGGCCGGTGGATTGGGATGTCAGTGCGGACACGTCAGAGTACGTCACCGCTTACAACCAGGACATGCCGCAGAACGACACCACCGGAGCCGTCAACTGTTTTCAAGATTGCTCTGACGTCATGATCAAAGACGGCACACTGAACGACGAAGACCCGTTCTGTGATAGTAAACTGGAGCATCTCGCCACCGAACACGTGTTGGCGTTGGGCTCACTGTTGTACAATCAGCCCATCGCGTCCGGAGGTGCCGAAAGCGGCGGGATACTAGATGCGGATGACATACATTCGTGCACAGAGAGGGAAGAAGAAATCGGTTCCATCTTGGAGTCTGAACATACACAATGCGCTGATGGATTGAACTACTCGGTAGCAGAAAGTTCGCAGCATGAGATCGATGGTGTCAGTATGTTAATCGAAACGAAACATAATGGCGACGGCGTGGAAGAGAATACCGAAGATCTCGCGTCGCTCGCTGTCTGTGGACAACATGAAGGGAAAGCAACGGTGTCTGAGGTAAAGGAGCAATTTGTTCACGACGGTGCAGATACCTCGAGGCAACAAGAGAGTGGTTCGAATGAATTCAAAATATCAGAGGAAAAGGAAAACACAGTAGACGAAAGTGATGACATCGCAGGAGATGGCATTGGTGAAAGCCCTAGAGACACCACAGGTGACATTCCAAGAGACACAAAAGGTGACATCCAAAGAGACAACAGTGGCGACATCCCAGGAGAAAACAAGGGTGATATCCCTAGAGACAACATTGGTGAAATCCCAGATGACCCCAGAGATGACATCCTAGGTCAGAGCTGTATTGGCATCCCAGGAGACGTCAGCGTTGACATCCCAAGAGAGAACTGTGTTGACACCCCAGGAGACAACTTTGGGGATATCCCCCAGGACACCAGATGGGACTGCTTAGGTGATATCCAATGTAACACCATTGGTGACATCCCAGGAGACACAAGATGTGACACCCCAGGAGACGACAGTGTTGACATCCAAGGTGACATTGATGACACCGCACCAGACAACATTGGTGATATCGATGCGAAAGATGGACGTGGAGGACTTGACTCGCTTGAATTAATCCCCGAACGTAGTCGTCAAATACAAGTAGAGAAACGAGTCAACTTGTCAAGGGAAGAAACGGTGAAAACCACCCTGTCATATGATAATATTGATAGAGATGAAGCGCCTAAAGATAAAATAGGCCACGATGCTGTCCAGGAGGAGGTGCCTAATGATAAAATAGACCACACTTCTGTCCAGGAGGAGGTGCCTGATGATAAAATAGGCCACGATGTTGTCCAGGAGGAGCTGCCTAATGATAAAATAGAGCACACTTCTGTCCAGGAGGAGGTGCCTGATGATAAAATAGGCCACGTTGTTATCCAGGAGGAGCTGCCTAATGATAAAATAGACCACACTTCTGTCCAGGAGGAGGTGCCTGATGATAAAATAGGCCACGTTGTTATCCAGGAGGCGCTGCCTAATGATAAAATAGACCACACTTCTGTCCAGGAGGAGGTGCCTGATGATAAAATAGACCACGATGTTATCCAGGAGGAGCTGCCTAATGATAAAATAGAGCACACTTCTGTCCAGGAGGAGGTGCCTGATGATAAAATAGACCACGATGTTGTCCAGGAGGAGCTACCTAATGATAAAATAGAGCACACTTCTGTCCAGGAGGAGGTGCCTGATGATAAAATAGACCACGATGTTATCCAGGAGGAGCTGCCTAATGATAAAATAGACCACACTTCTGTCCAGGAGGAGGTGCCTGATGATAAAATAGACCACGATGTTATCCAGGAGGAGCTGCCTAATGCTAAAATAGACCACACTTCTGTCCAGGAGGAGGTGCCTACTGATAAGAGAGACCATGCTGCTGTTCAAGAGGATTTGTCATGTGATAAAATAGACCTCTCTGGTGTACAAGACGATGTGTCTTTTGACAGACTAGACCATATTGTTAATAGTTGTAATGAGATATCGAAAGATGTGACTATAAAAGAATCATGTTTAGATAATAAATTGCTGCCCCAGTCACGTACACATGAAGCTATCTCCGATGAATCTAAAGCTATTGAGGCTGAGAAAGTACCAATACATAAGGGCGATCAAAAGATCGTACGTGAATTATCACTACATTTTAGTGATGATAAAGTAACACATGAATTACAAATACAAGAATGTGATGAGAAGGTGACATTTGAAGTACCAATACCAGAAGAGGATATGAAAATGGTATTTAAAGTACCAATACAAGAATGTGATGAGAAGGTGACATTTGATGTAAGTGTACAGGAAGGTGATAAGACGGGGGAGTTTGAAGTATCAATGCAAGAAGGTGATGAGGAGGTGGGGTTTGAAGTACCAGCACAAGAAGGTGATGATGAGAATGTAGCTTTTGAAGTATCAATGGAAGGAGGTGATGAGAAGTTGGCATTTGAAGCATCAAATAAAGAGGGTGATGAGAAGGTGGCTTTTGAAGTATCAATGCAAGAAGATGTTGAGAAGGTAGTAAATGCCTTACCGGATCATGAGGGTAATGATTTTGTGACTGATCAAGCCCCAATACATGAGGGTGATGAGTGTGTAACGAATCAAGCCCAAATACATGACGGTGATGAGAAAGTGACATTTAAAGTTCCTATTCCTGAGGGTAATGTAAAAGTGCTACATGATTTACCAAAAAAAGAGTATGATGATGATGTGGGGGATGAAGCCCCAATACATGAAGGGGATGAGTATATGACTGATCAAGCCCAAATACATGATGGGGAAGATTACGTGACTGATCAAGGCCAAATACGTGAGGGTGATGAGTATATGACTGATCAAAGTCAAATACATGAGGGTGATGATGATATGACTGATCAAGCCCCAATACATGAGGGTGATGATTATATGACTGATCAAGTCCAACGCCATGAGGGTGATGAGTATATGACTGATCAAGCCCAAATACATGAGGGTGATGATTATATGACTGATCTAGGTCAACTTCATGAAGATAATGAGTATATGACTGATCAAGGCCAAATACATGAGGGTGATGAGTATGTGACTGATCAAGGTCAAATACATGAGGGTAATGAGTATATGACTGATCAAGGCCAAATACATGAGGGTGGTGATTATATGACTGATCAAACCCAACTCCATGATGATGATGAGTATATGAAAGATCAAGCCCAACTCCATGAGGATGATGAGTATATGACTGATCAAGCCCAAATAGATGAAGGTGATGAGTATATGACTGATCAAGCCCAACTCCATGAGGATGATGAGTATATGACTGATAAAGCCCAAATACATGAGAGTGATGAGTATATGACTGATCAAGCCCAACTCCATGAGAGTGATGGGTATATGACTAATCAAAGCCAAATACATGAGTGTGATGATTATATAACTGATCAAGGTCAAATACATGAGGGTGATGAGTATATGACTGATCAAGCCCAAATACATGAGTGTTATGATTATGTGACTGATCAAGCCCCAATACATGAGGATGATGATTATATGACTGATCAAGCCCAACTCCATGATGGCGATGAGAATATGACTGATCAACCCCAAATACATGAGGGTGATGAGTATATCACTGATCAAGCCCATCTCCATGAGGGTGATGGGTACATGACTGATCAAAGCCAACTCCATAATGGTGATGATTATATAAATGATCAAGGTCAAATACATGAGGGTGATGAGTATATGACTGATCAAGCCCAAATACATGAGTATTATGATTATGTGACTGATCAAGCCCCAATACATGAGTGTTATGATTATGTGACTGATCAAGCTCCAATACAAGAGGGCGATGAGAATGCTACGCATATAATAAAAATACATCAAGGTGACAATTATCAGGCGGATCAAACGCAAATACTAGAAGGTGGTGAGGAGGTGACATTTAAAGTTTCTATTCCAAAGGGTAATGTTAAGGTGACACATGATTCACCTGTACAAAGGGGTGATGATTGTGACACGCACCGAGCACCAATACAAGAGGTAAATGCTATGGTTGACAAACTGCCATCTGATCGTGTCCTGGGTTTAAATCTTTCAGAAAACGATGACATTTCAGATGCTGACCACCAGATCGAAACAGCAGATGTACACGAGGTCCCACATTCAAACGCCACTCTAATAGCAGAGCGATATCTGGAGTCTCGCTCCTCTTTACCAAATGATGGCACAGCAACGGTTGAACCGGATGTTGAAAGAGTTGGCCACGTTGAGCCGAACACAGCCTCTGGCACGGGAGTTGATCTTCTTAGTTTAGGTGTTCAGAGCATAGCAACGAACTCGAGGTTAAAGGGAGAAACGAACTCGGGGTTAAAGGGAGAAAATGCTAAAACAAAATATACGTCCGTTTTAACAACAACTGATAGCGAGATAGATGGTTATCACAATGATTCAGTTGTTGAAGAAGATGTAGAGAAGATAGGAAATGACGATGTTTTGCTGGTCAAGAATTTTCCTATAGACGATTCTGTTCCAAAGGACCTTGATTCTTTTGACGGTGCTATTATGTCCGATCATGCTACTGAATCCAATCCATTACTTCACCAATGCAAAACTATTTCTGTCACAGTTATAGACGAGCCCGCAACTATTGAATCTACTGTTTTAGACGAGCAAGATGTTTTTAAATTCACCTTTTTAGGCACAGAAGTTAAAGAGCATGAAGCTACTGAATTAATTGTTTCAGGCAAGCAAGAAACTACTGAATCCAGTGTTACAGCCAAGCAAAAAGGTATTGAATCCACTGTTTCGGGTGAACAAGAATCATTTGAATCCACTGTTTTAGGTGAGCAAGACGCTATTGAAGCCACTGTTATCGACCAGCAAAAAGCCATAGAATCCATAGTTTTAGACGAAGAAGCTATTGAATTCACTGTGTCGGGCGAGCAAGAAGCTATTGAATCTACTGTTTCAGATAAGCAAGAAGCTATTGAATCAACTGCTTCAGACAAGCAGGAAGCTATTGATTCCACTGTTTCAGACAAAAAAGAAGCTGCTGAATCCACTGTTCCCTGTGAGCAAGAAGCTTTTGAATCCACAGTTTCATGCGAGCAAGAGGCTATTGAATCTACGGTCAGAGAAGAGAACTTAGAACAAACGTATGCTTTACTGAAAGATGAAGACAGATTTCTGAATTCATCACCAACAAATGAGCAGCAGACTGAGAACACGGAGGCCAAACATATCGAGTTGGAGCATCAAGAAGATCCAAAAATAGAAGAAACTGCTATGGAATTACATGACAGAGTGGACAACTTTGTTGAACACGAAGAGAAAGACGGCAATATATTTCTACAACAATCTGCCGATGCTGATCACGATAATTCTTTGTATGAAGCTGGTATAATGAAGGCCCAGAATGGAGATGCTATTAACACTGTGGACGCTGAAACGGTGAGCGTCAACTTTGAAGATGGAGACGGCGCTGAAGTTTCTTACCATATGAAAAAGCACAGAGAAGGCGATGAGTATGTGTTTACTCCTGCAGATCTCGGGTTGGAGCATTCTGACGTTGCCACAGCTGACAGGCCGTTTCAGCGTGACCTTGACCCAAGTTCGGATGAAGATGGTGGACAGGAAGCAAATGATATTGAACCAATCAGCGATGTAGACGTTGATGGCTTAATGATAAATGATTCAAATGTTATGAAAAGGCGGAAAGATAGCGATGAATACTTGCATGCCTTTTCAGAAAACGAAGTGGAGAGTGAACTGGTGCGAGACGCGGGGAGTCATTCTTTCGTAGTGGTGTCTCAGGTTGGTGGTCACGGACAAACGGATGTAAGAGATACAGAAGATGAGGATGCCGTTAAAGTTTTGGACACTGGGGCCAGGATATTCCGAGCTGAAGACCAACAGGACATTGAAGATAAACGTGGATTGAATGAGGTAACTGAAGAAAATGAGATCGTGTTTAGGTCTCCAGAACATAACGTTAAACTTAATGACGATCATTTACTGTCCGATTTTTCATCACTTAGAAACCATCTCAAAATACTTTCTGGTGGTGCAGAAGATGATCAGAAAAATGTTGAATCAGAACTAGTGACCCTACATTACTCTGAATTCACAGGACACAAAGTTCAATACAACCTAAAGAAAGAGAAGGTTGGAGATGAAATCATTTACACTGTACCCGACAATGGCAACTGGGAGTTTGAATATAGCGCAGACAATGGAGAAACGAATTCAGACCTTCACAATAAAGAAGATGAGCCCTCAGAAGACTTGAAATCGAATGAAACTGTAATTAAACAAGAGATCAAAAAATTTTATTACCTTAAAATGTTTCCACACAATCCTGGCCTAGTGGAAATTAACCAAGACGGCGTGACCGAAACAGATGGTGCTGAAGAACGCGATCTTAATATAGCGGCTGAGTACCATCAAATACAATACGATTTCACGAAAGGAAAAGACACCAAAAAATACACCTCAACTCTGACCACAACTGATGGTCCTGAAGTAAATGACTTTAAGAGAGTTGTTCCAATTAATGAAACAGAGAGCGACTTCAAGAATGAAAACTATGATATGAAATACACATCAACTCTGACCACAACAGACCAATACGCCGATGGTCATCACAAATATTGGTTAGAGGATGAGGAATATTTAAAGGACAAAACAGACGATGCTGCGATGGTCGAGCATTTTGCCTCTGGTGGTAGTTATATTCGCGATGTAGATTTTATCCATGCTGATGTTGATGAGTTAGATAATTCTGATTTGATAGAATACCAAAATTTCAGTGCGTGTCTAGAAAGATCGGACGCCCCTGTCGCTGAGGTGGGCAAAGGCAACGCTACGGATTACACTCGCATAACGGGAACACAGAATGAAGAAGTCATCGAAACGTTAGACCCTGAAACAATGGAGATTCATTTTACCGACAGACACGGTGCGAAACAAATCTACGAATTAAAAAAACACAGTGAAGGCGACGAATATGTGTATACTCCTGCAGATAACGGGATGGAATATGCGGATGATGACAACGCTGGTCAGCTGAATCATTTTGACCGTGATCTTAGTTTAGATGTTCAGGGTGAACAGGAAACGCATAATATTGAAACAGTCAGCGATGTAGACAACCAAATAGTAGGACACCGTATTGAAGACACACACGGAGTTGATGTCTCATATGATCTGAAAAAACACAACGATGGCGTTGAAAACGCGTTTAAGTTTTCAGACAATGAGGTGAGAGATTTGGAGCGTCATTCATTCGTAGTGGTGTCTGAAAGCGGTCATGAACAAACGTGTTTAACGGAAGCAGACAATGACGACACTTTTGACGTAATGGACACGGAGGGAAGCGGACGTCAAAGCGAAGAACGAGAGGGGCTTGGAACAAAGTGTGGGTCAAATAAGGTCATCGAAGAAGATGAGATAGTGTTTACTCTTCCGGACAAAGAGAATGAAGATTTCGATCTAAAAACAGGTGGCCAGAAAAGTCAGAGCAGGGATCGAGAGAATACGTTAGAACGTAGAGACGCAGTGGAGGCACCACATGTAGATTACATTGAAGTTGTGGCCGTCGAGAGGGTGAACATTCATTTCGACACCAGACATGGCGTCCGCGTAGCCCACGAACTGAACAAGCAAAAAGTAGGCCAAGAATACATATTTACGTTTTCAAACCAGGATGGTGATTCACCTCAAAAGGATGAGGAACACCACTCTCAAGTGGAGACTGACAAGTCCATACAGCAAGATTCAGAAGTATCAAGCAATGAAAAAGCAAATCCTGTAACTTATGAAGAAATCGTAAACTTTGAGAAAAACTCCATTTTATGTCAAGACGCAGATGTATTTATGTATTCTATACCCGAAAGATCGCGGACAAATGTAAACGCCGAGGACGAGGGTAACCCATCAGGCCACCATGAAGATCAAACCGAAGATGAAACCCCAGAAGTATTACATGATAGTGTAGAAGACTTGATTGAACGCGAAGAGAAAGTGTGTCCCATACTCCTACAAGAATCTGACGACACCGACCATGATAATTGTTTGGATGAAACTGGCATGATGGGGACACCTAATGAAGATGTTTTAAACTCTGAAATACCAGACGTCCAAAGGGACGACCGATGCCCTGTTGAGATATCGTACGATTTTAAAAGGCACATTGAAGGCGACGAACATGCATTTACTCCTGCAGATCATGGGTTGGGATGTTCAGATGTTGACATCACTGGTCGGTCAATTCAACGCAACCTCGAACCTAGTTTGAACAAAACATATGAACACGAAACATGTCTTGTAGAAAGTGCAGGAAATGTAAGTTCGAAGCAGGAGAGCGTCCCCAGAGAAGAAAGTCCACATAATGACGCTGGCAATGGTTTGATTATAATAAGCATTACAGAAAAAGAACATGCAGACATTTTGGACACATGTCCCGCAGCTGTAACAGAAGTAAAGCTAATCGATAATGAAAACGATCAGTCCATTGAAATAACGCCAAATAGCGAGAAAGACAACGATGTATTCGCCTACAACTTGACAGAACATGAACCTTGGGGCTTTGAAGTGAGAGAAGAAGACCAAGAAATTATACCTGATAATTTTGCATTTTCAAGTTCACCAATGAGTAACTTACCCAGGACTCTCAGGAGGGACTCTGACAAGGAGGATAACGACAAGTTTGTGATCAGTTTGTCTGATGCGGATTGCAGACAAGCCTCAAACGACGTGTTCGAGGTCTATCTGTCCGACGGAATCAACAGTGAAATCATCGAGGGAAATTTTGTCGGATTGGACGCTAACGAGTGGAAGACTAATGCCGGGGAAGATTCTGTTGCAAGCACGGATTCTGTTGAAAGCATGGTTTATGGTAATGACGCAGACATCGAGGAGACGTATTCACAAAACGAGACCGAGTCGAGCCTGACCAGTCCATGCAAAAGAGAAGCCTGTGAGGTAAATGACTGCAGTGGCATTATTTCTCAAATAGAAAGTGCCTCAAATCTGCCGATCGTTCCCGTGGATGAAAGATTAGATGACACACATAATGTCACGGAAGAAATGCAGTCAAGAACCAAATGCTTCACCGATGATTGGGCTACTGTTACAGGTGGTAAGTGTATGGTTTCAAGTGGAAAATGTATTGGTTTTTAATTGGTAGATATGTTGTTTGAAATGGTACATCAACAGATCCAGATAGAGAGTATTTTTTAAAATAACTTTTTATGGTTGTTCATTTAAAGAAACAAAGTAAACATGATATTTTGTCAAATAAGTTTGAAAGTTAAAGGAGTTTGTAGTATCAAATTGTAAAACTCAGATTGAAATTTTGAGTCTTTTGTTTTCAAAATGTTAGTCAATTTTTTTTTTTTTTAAACAACGATTTTCACTCACACTTCAAACAGATCACGCAGAAAAACGAGGAGACTATAAATGCTCAGTTTCTGTGCAGCAACTAGAAACACAGAGTGAAGATACCTCATCTAAAATAAGCCGCTTGGAAACAGGAGACATTCAGATGTCAAGGCCCGATAGTGACATAGAAACACAAGACATTGACATCCCATCACACGCTGGTCACATAGAAACACAATGGAACATGCAGATCTCATCATCCGATGGTAACATAGAAACACAAGAAGACATTCAGATCTCATCACCCGATAGTCACATAGAAGCACTAGATATTCAGATCTCATCGCCTGATGGTCACATAGAAGGACAAGACATTCAGATCTCATCTCCTGATGGTCACATAGAAACACTAGACATTCAGATCTCATCTCCTGATGGTCACATAGAAACACTAAATGTCCAGATCTCATCTCCTGATTGTCACATAGAAACACAAGGAGACATTCAGATCTCATCACCCGATAGTTACATAGACGCACTAGATATTCAGATCTCATCGCCTGATGGTCACATAGAAACACAAGACATTCAGATCTCATCTCCTGCTGGTCACATAGAAACACAAGACATTCAGATCTCATCACCCGATAGTTACATAGAAGCACTAGATATTCAGATCTCATCGCCTGATGGTCACATAGAAACACAAGACATTCAGATCTCATCACCCGATAGTTACATAGAAACACAAGACATTCAGATCACATCTCCTGAGGGTCACATAGAAACACAAGACATTCAGATCTCATCGCCTGATGGTCACATAGAAACACAAGACATTCAGATCTCATCGCCTGATGGCCACATAGAAACACAAGACATTCAGATCTCATCACCCGATAGTTACATAGAAACACAAGACATTCAGATCACATCTCCTGATGGTCACATAGAAACACAAGACATTCAGATCTCATCGCCTGATGGTCACATAGAAACACAAGACATTCAGATCTCATCTCCTGATGGTCACATAGAAACACAAGACATTCAGATCTCATCGCCTGATGGTCACATAGAAAGACAAGACATTCAGATCTCATCTCATGATGGTCACATAGAAACACAAGACATTCAGATCTCATCTCCTGATGGTCACAGAGAAACACAAGACATTCAGATCTCATCGCCTGATGGTCACATAAAAACACAATATGACTGTCAGATCTCATCACCAATTTTTCACATAGAAACACAAAGAGACATTCAGATCACATCACCCATTGGTCAAATAGAAACACACGGATACATTCAGATCCCATCGCCCGTTGTTGACATAGAAACACAAGGAGACATTCAGATTACATCACCCGTTGGTCGCAAAGAAACACAAGGAGACATTCAGATCCCATCGCCCATTAGCCACACAGAAACACACGAGGACATTGTGATCTCAACTCCAGTTGGCCACATAGAAACACAAGGAGACATTCAGATCACATCACCCGTTGGTGACATTGAAACACGAGGAGACATTCAGATCACATCACCCGTTGGTCGCATAGAAACACAAGGAGACATTCAGATCACATCACCCGTTGGTCGCATAGAAACACAAGGAGAAATTCAGATCACATCACCCGTTGGTCGCAAAGAAACACAAGGAGACATTCAGATCACATCACCCGTTGGTCGCATAGAAACACAAGGAGACATTCAGATCACATCACCCGTTGGTCGCATAGAAACACAAGGAGAAATTCAGATCACATTACCCGTTGGTCGCAAAGAAACACAAGGAGACATTCAGATCCCATCGCCCATTAGCCACACAGAAACACACGAGGACATTGTGATCTCAACTCCAGTTGGCCACATAGAAACACAAGGGGACATGCAGATCCCATCGCCTATTGACCACATAAAAACACATGGAGATTTTCAGATCTTATCGCCTGTTGGTCACATAGAAACACAAGGAGACATTCAGATCTCGTCGCCTATGGGCCACATAGAAAAACAAGGAGACATTCAGATCTCGTCGCCTATGGGCCACATAGAAACACAAGGCGACATTCAGATATCATCGCCCGCTGGTCACATAGAAACACACGGAGACATTGTTATCTCAGCTCCTCTAGACCACAAAGAAAAACAAACAGAAGAAAAGAATATCTCAGTTGCCAACTGCCTTAAAGAAACTCTGGAAGTAATTCCCAGGTCAGCCCCAATGACCAATGAGAATACGGAGATGCAGGTGGAGGCCACTTATGTTATAAATGACGTCACGTATAATGTACGCTGTCCTTCAGATTCTGGACTAAATGAAAACACCACAGACACTGATAATGACACGAACTCTGAAGCCAATGTCTTTTCAGTCGACTACGCTCGTGAAGCTGAAAGTGAAAGATTGGGTGCGGCCAATGTCTTTAAATTATCGTCGTCACTATCCGGACCCAACATGCAGCAAAGATTTTTCAATGCGGATGAGACACAAAGGTTAGTACAGAATGCTGCCAATCGTATCCCCGATAAAGAAGCTTTAAGCAAAGACAGTTTTGCAAGTTCTTTTAATCAAGATCTCGTCCTGAAAAACAACATCGACTTAGCCGAGTCGAAAAATACGGAAACTGACGTTGGGGAAAATGAACATACGTCTGAATGTGACATATCATCATGTCAGGACCCGCTCAGCGGGGAAGAGCAAGGTGAGCCGGGACTGCAGAACTCATCTATCAATGAGGTGGACTCGTACAGACCTGCTCTACGGAAAAAATCCGGTCATTTTGTCCAAGAAGAAGAGAAACAGTGTACAGCGGAAGACAGAGATGCAATCGAGAAGACCCATAAGAACAACAGGCTGAGCCCAAAAGAGAAAACCGTGAGCGTGGAGTTGACAGTTACTGACAAGGATATGGATAGTAGTCGGGAATCCCAAGGACTGGCAACGCACAGGGATTCTGTACACGAAGATGGCAAGGAAAAAATATCGAATAGCATTGAAACATTAATCTCTGAATCTCTTTTGAATTCTCGTGATGAAGATTCTACAGAAGGAAGCGATTCGATTGGACACGAACTGTGTCACGGAGAAAAAACCTCTGGTACTGTGGCAACTTGTGGTGGAGTGGATGGAACCAGGGAGGAGGATTTATCAAAGCAGAGAGATGAAGATAATCAACTGGCTAGAGGACACTTAAAAGGCCGTATTGAAACGGAGCGACACTATGCGTGGAAGGTTATGTCCCCTATCACTTACAAGGAGATCAATATTGGGTGCATAGGTAATGTACCGTCCGATACTGAGGATCATCAAAATATTATGGTTTTGGGTGTGAGTACTGATTCCCATGACAGTTCACAAGACCTGTCACATAGCCTGTCACAGGTGAAAACCGAAGTAACGGAGGCCAGCATTTTGTCTGCGCAAGAAGAAATTCACATCCCTAGAACTGCTTGCAAGTGGGATGATTCTTCAACACCGAAAGATGTCATAGAACACTCGGAAGTCGAAGCTTCTGTGTTGACTATGAGGCAGCATGTAAGCGACATGGATCGGCTCGGGGAAGCCATCTCACATTTCCCCGCCTCTCCTCAGTGTCGACAGATAGCCTCAGACATGGGTGACGGGAGGAATGTCGAGAAGGACGACGAAGTGGGAGCCCACACGGAGCAAGTTTACATGGAAGAACTTGAGATGTCCGACAGGCTCAACATGTACCGCGACACCGTACGGGAGGTCAAATCGGAGCTCTCTCCGGCACGGTACATCAGCGATAAGGACGAAGACACGATACCGCTGGTGAAAGAGTCTAAAGATGGCAGGCGACGCGTTAAGAAAGGGGCGATGGCCAAACAGTCCCAGAACCTCACAGATATTTGTAGTGACTCTACGGTCCTGACCAAAGTTTCGGACAGGCCACAGGTACAGAAGACGCGAAGCGCCGATGAGTTCGCCTTGCTGAAAAGTGAAGACGGGGGTGAAGAAGAAGGCCCCGACGAATGTTACAATCTGAGGACGACTAAGAGCACACCAGTGCCCCAGTCTGGTATCAGACGAATCAAATTGATCGATGTGAAAGAATTCCCCAAGGATATGCCATGCATCTACCGTCCGTGTAAGTAGTTCTGTTTTTGTTTTAGGACTGGATCGTGTTGCTGATGCGCGAGTGGAACATTTGACGTCATTAATACTAAATATAATTTTAACGTGACCTCAACTCGCCATTGATATTTTATTTTGATGTGCACGTCGTTTTTATTTTGTGTATTACACATTACTAATATTAGAAAGATATTTATAACTTGTCGTAGGCCAGGGCCTGGCAAACATTTTTAAGTGAGGAAAAAATTTTATAGATTAAATCTGCCGACGAAATTATTATTTTTTTGGATCTGTAGACAGGAGTTGTTTGTATAGTAGACGAGTCAAATAAACAAATGAGTCAAATAAACAAATGAGTCAAATAAACAAATGAGTCAAATAAACAACCACATCTATCCATTCAAAGGGGTTGATTGAATAGTAGGCTAGTCAGTTAAAGAACAAAAGCTATCCCTTCAAGGAACCACTGGCTATTCCTTTGAAGAGCAGCACGTTACTCTTGCGCCTCGGGTTTCCGACTACTGCTGAATGGCAGCCAACAAATAATGAGCATGGCCTTGAGGTTTCTCGTCATAATTTGTCTTGTTTACATCTCCAAAAACTTGTCGCGTTTAATAATTGCTCTTGATTGTACTTAGTCGCATTCACAAGTCTTTGTTACAAAACAATAAGATACAGAAGCATTAAAAACAAATATATGCAGGTGTCGCTAAGTGACACCAAAGTTTGTGTCTTATCATTGTCAGGCTAGAAAATGTCCATTCGATTCTCTTTGTCTCCGTCACCAGATGAGACGAACGACCCTAAGCCACCAGCACCAAGTGCCTCAGAAACTAACCTGAGTCGACCCAACAAACCCATCACTTTTAGGCATCGGCCATCTGAGGCGAGAAGACCAAAGAAAACTAGTCTGTGGAAGCGCCTGAAATCGGTAAGGAAAAAACACCAACATGTTGTAAGGAAAAAAAAGCACCAATATATTTTGTGGAATAAACACCAATATATTCATCACAATCTTCGCAATTATGTAACCTTCCCTCATGATACGTCGCAGTTACACAGAATTCCCTTCTGTGACGTTACGAATTGCATTACCCCCCCCCCCCCCCCCCCACACCCNTGGAAGTCACAATTTGTTGGAGAAGGCTTTCCTTCTTCAGTTCAGTAAATCAACTTGATGAATCCATATCTTCATAGCTTTATATGAGCCGTGTACGTCATCACTAGAAATTAAATAACAATTATACATCAGTTAAGACAGACACCCCCCCCCCTTTTTTTTTACACCTAACACCCATCCCTGAAAAAACAAATGTTGAAAATTTAGACATGCATTACAAAGTATGAAGTTTATATAATATTATGTAAATGTTCCAATGTCGAGTGTTGTTTAACCAATCTTAGTTGTTAAAGGTTTGAAGAGTATTGTTAAAAGATAGTGTTATCAAATAAATGAGTCGCAAAATATTTCGAACTGAATTGAATTGATGAATAATTGTTTCCAACTACCAAACGAGCAGATTTTGAAAGCCCCACGACTCGTGCATAGAGATGGCAAGTTCCGGTTCGTGAGGAAGTACAAGAAAACGCCCAACTCTGAGATGTCCGCGCCATCCGCTTACATGTCCTCAACCGCTTCCGACAGCTTGTTGGATCAGTGTCAAGATGTTTCGAAAACAAAACAACGTGGGTCAAAGGTGAAGATTGACGAACGATTCAATTTCCGGCCGGTGACTGCAGGTTTGTTCAAATGGATGCTTTCGTCTTCTTTTACTGCTGGCCAATGTTGACATGTGGCATTGATTGTTTAATGTTATTTTTCCCCTTTTTTAAAAAAAAACACATTTGTGAAACGGTGTCTCAAAGACAAGATGGGAACATTCATTTCGACTATTATATTATTATTTAATGGAATACCAGCTATCGCTTGATGTAAACGCAATATTTTTTTTAAAATAAGGTTTGCAGCGGGAACATTTTAGTTGTATACTACTCCAGTAGCGTAGCTAGGGTTGGTGTCACCCGGTGCGGTAAACTCATGGTGTCACCCCCCCCCCCCAAAAAAAAAAAAAAAAAAAAAAACAAAAAAAAACAAAAAAAAAAAAAAAAAAAAAACTTCTATGATCGATTTTTTCTTGTTAAAATAAGTCCACAGTATAGCATCAACCTTGAACTTTTAATAAAGCACGCATTTGGATTGGTTAAATTTGTGAAAAATATATGTGTGATCCGTATTCTTTTATGAATCTCGATTTTTGCAAGCAATGTGTGCCCTGTAAATATGCAATTTTTCAATCGGGTGTCACCCCTAAAATGGTGTCACCCGGTGCGGTCCGCACCCCCCGCACCTGCCTCGCTACGCCACTGTACTACTATACTCACCCCACCCCCGCCCGAAAACCAATGTGGGATAGAGAATGACAAGCAAAATGGAATAGTCTTCTGGATAATAAATTTAACTTGACTATTTCCCTAGCAAATGGCCATGGAGATGGTAAAACAACTATTTTTATTACACGCTACATGATAACATTACAGACCAACCCGCTTATCTCGACATCGGTTATCTCGCAAACCCAGTTATGTTGATGTTTTTGAAGTGGAACCGCCAAATTCTCACTTTGTCTTAGCATTTTCTCCTTGGTTATGTCGATTCTTTTATGTGGCCGAACCCTGATATCTAGAGCGCAAAAGGCGGCCAAGTTTGCCACTTAACCTCGGTTATCTCGATCCCCATGACCAATCGCCGACTTTTGAACTCCGCAAGAAGAAGTTGCAAACAATAAATAAACAAGTTTTTCATAATTAAAATAATTATTTATTTCTCAAAATACAGGACGTGTGTTTTAGAATGAACCTAGAAGTAATTTAAATAAATATTTTTTATTTCGAGGTTTAAAAACCCGGTAGAGTTCATATTATAAATGATCTTAATTTGCTGTGTGCAAAACGTTGTCATGGGCAGCCATTCACGGTCACTTGCATAATGGCTATGCCGTGGTACTACGTCAGAGTTTCATTCATAAGAGTTTGCCTTGTGCAAAAGCTATTAAATCATTGGTCAGGGAAAGCTTTAATTAAATAGTCATGTGCCAAAGTTGAAAGTTCCAAATAAGTAGTCCCTAAATAGTATTTTAGTAATAAAGGGATGCGTTGCCTTATATAAACTATATATCGCGCAAGACACCATCGGCAGAATGGGGTCACAAAATGTGGGGGTTTCGTCCATAGTAGAAAACAACAAACGAACTCGCACTTTAAAAATTCATAAAGTTAAAAAGTTGATTCTGGTTTAATTTTTTTTTTTAAATTTCAAATTTGCTCTAAATAACTTAAATGTTTAAAAAAAAAGGTATTTATTTTTTTTACTGAAGTACCTGCATTTATTAAAGCAAATCATGTACATAAAGAAATTTCAAGCTCATGTTAATATATTGCCGCCATATTAGTTTTCGGTTATCTCGATCATCGGTTATCTCGACGTTTTTTGAAAAAAAAACCCTAGGCCGTCGACATAACCGGGTTATACTGTAGTTAGTTTTTTGTTAGGAAAACGTACTTAAATGATTCCGTAGTCCATTCTGACACGAATTAAGGTCGATGTGATTCTTAGAGAAACAGTGTCATTAAAACATGCTTTAGTGATAAAACGTGAATAATTCCAACGTCATCTAAAGATATGAACAACCAGTAACATCTAGTATCGCTCAGTAACACCTAGTATCGCCCAGTAACACCTAGTATCGCCCAGTAACACCTAGTATCGCCCAGTAACACCTAGTATCACCCAGTAACGCTAGTAAGGCCCAAGCCATTTGCATTTATTGACACATTCATTGAAATATACTAAATTTTTTAGTCATTTTTTTGTTTGTTTGTTGTGATCTATAGAAAATGGATCAGAATGGCAAATGGAGTCTCCCACCAAGCCTCTGCACAGAAAGAAGTCGTCCAAACGAAACGAGTGGCGACAGTTTCGGCGACTGCGTGTACTGCGACACAGTGCTGAAACAATGGTAAACTGTTGTGATTTTGAGAACGGTGAAAAATTTTCGTTCATAACTGCACAATATAAAATTGTCATGTTCTATATGGAACAAAGCGAACACAGATACCGGCCTAAAATTATATTTGTGAAACAATGGTAAACTGTTGTGAGCTGGGACACAGTGCTGAAACAATGGTAAACAATTGTGTGCTGGGCATACAGTGCTGAAACAATGGTAAACTGTGGTGTTCTGCGACACTGCTGAAAAAATGGCTGCGACACAGTGCTGAAACACTGGGAAACTGTTGTGTCCTGCGACATGGATCTGAAGCTATGATAAACTGTTGTGTGCTTTGACACAGTGCTGAAACAATAGCTAGGACACAGTGACAACGGTAAATTGTTGTGTACTGCAACTGGCGACACAGTGGTAAACTGTTGTGTGCTGCGACACTGTGCTGAAACAATGGTAAACTGTTGTTTGCTGCGACACAGTGGTGAAACAATGGTAAACTGTTGTGTGCTGCGACACAGTGTTGAAACAATGGCAATTTTTTTAGATTTTGAGAACGATGAAGCAATTTAGTTTATAACTGCACAATATAAAATTGTCTTGTGCTACATGGAACAAAGCGAACCCATATACCGGCCTAAAACTATATTTGTTTATAAAAGAGAGTTCTCTAAACATTAGGAAATAAAAAGATTAATAATTTTTTTCGATTTATTTTCTACTTCAAAATAATAGGAAAATACATTTTTTAAACTTTAAAAATAAAAATGAAACGTTTTAATTTCTTATTCCGACAATTACTTAGTGAAAATTCCCCTGGGACACTAAAATGAAGACTCTCAACATCTAAATCGTCCCCAGGGCCCCATCCTACCACCCATGAGAACCCAGAATGTAAGCAACAAGAACTATGTCCGACTGCTGAGTGAGAACTACCAACGAGCGCAGGAGTCCAAGTACAGGCACGGCTGCGAGGAGGAAGCGAGGACTAAAAGGTCAAAGAAGAGACGAAGTAAGAGCAGGTCAAGTAAACGCGTGAGGTCACCTCTGCTGGAGCACCCTAAAGATGACCTGGCAGCCAAAAGGTGCGAGATGGTGAACTCGGCAACACCGGAAGTGTTCGAAGTCTTCTGTCACGAGGATGAAGGTAAGACGAGCTCATCCTTTACACACGATTCCGTGGCTGTTACACATACCATACCGACCCGTAGTTAACTCTTTTTTTCCACCATATTAAACCACACAACACTTTAAACAATTTCAGTCAACCCACTGGTAATTTATTTTACCGCATGAATCCGCTCACTATGGAAACGTAACACATCAACCGCAGTTACCCATGACATCATCTCAAATCACAGACCACTGTGTCCTACAACATCCACAAACATTTGCTGTATGGATGCACAAAATACTCCACTGGTTTCCTAACTTTTAAAAAAAAAAATTTATTTTTGGAAAATTCAGACGCATGCACCGTGAAAGAGGAGCCCACGGTGAGGATGTTGTTGCCAGTCATAAAGCCAAGCGCTAGCAGCACAAGTGACCCCGACAGCACACACGTGGCGGATAACCCGGCCACCAAATGCCACCCTTGTGCCCACATGCACCAGATGAGCCACCTCCACCAGGACATGTACAAGAAACAGTCAACATTTTGGCGCTGGCGCTGTGTAGTCATGTAAGATAGTGTGGCTCCGATCAGCACTGTACTATAGTGTGGCTCCGATCAGCACTGTTCTATAGTGTGGCTCAGATCAGCACTGCAAGACAGCTGGCTCAGATCTACTTTGTAAGAGAGTGTGGCTCTGATCATTACTGTAAGGTAGTGTGGCTCAGATCACCACTGACATTATGGCTCCCGTTTAAAAAAAAACAAAACAAAAAACAACAACAACCCTTGAACGTAATTTCATTGATAAGTATTGAAAGGTCTAGATTCTAGATATCAAAGAATACAATATTACATTTTGAAATAGTCTTTAAAGGATACTAACTGAATGTTTCATTTAACAAATAATGTTTTGTTTTTTCTTTATGAAAAAGAATTATAGAGAATGTATAGGTTTTTCTATAGGGAATGAAAGAGTTGGTTCATTTAAGGAGGGATTTTTTATGTGATACAAAATTCTTTATTCAAAATAAATATTAGCATCAAGAAGGTACGGGTATTGTAAGCATCTGTGCTGTCATTCTTCTAATGGTTAGTTTAAAGAGATGCAGGAGAAGATTAAAATGTTGAATACATTATTTCAGTTGGTTCATTAATATTTCAGAGGTAAATTAGACAAATAAAATTTACATATCATGACATATAATACATGTATTGTTTTATAGAATAAAGGATTTATTTTTTACAACTACTCTTGTCAAAAGATACGTTTGGTATTTAATTGCATTTTTTCAATAAGACTTTGTCAATCCACACTGTGTGTAGCAGCTTCGTCAAACCTTCTTGCACAAGTTTCTCTTAAATTTTTCTGAAAGTCCTCGTGTCAATCATGTTTTAATGTTTAAACAGGTCCTACAGTCATAATTATGTAAGTATTGTCATATTAATGTTGGTCCAACAGTTGAAAGTAGCGAAACAAAGTATAGGAAAACCTGGAAAAAAAAAAGAATGCAACAAAACAACAAACGTGCCGGCAAGAAGCCTTCCTCAGCAAACAAACAACAGTAAAAACAACACAAATGAAAATAACACTTAGCTGAAATGTAGTTTCCAAGAGGACGACGGCAAGAGGAATGTGGAAGATGGTCTAACAGTCATAGTTATACAACTATTGTCATGTTAGTGCTACACACAGATATAGTGCTCAAATTTAAACTCTCTCTTGGAAGCTGGTTGCTGGATACTTTGTAACCAAAAGGCCATCATGGTTTTAAGGCCAACAGGGTTATCCCACCACTGTTATGCTATGAGAATTAATTCTAAAGCTATCAAATTTAACTCTATCAATGCAAATGCCATAAGTTGCCATGTTAGGTAAATAGACGACAAATCCATAATGAAACAAGTCCTCAATGAGATAAAGAGGGAGAACAAACAACTTATTTCTACATGCTTTGAGATTCAAGAAATAGTAATAGCAGCAGTTAGAGAAACACAATTAGAGAAACAGAGAGTTGAAATTAAACCGACTTAATAAATAAATGTCAATGGAGCTACACATCTTATAAATGTACTTTTCCTTAACCTGTGGGCTACTAGGAATGTGAATATAAAAACTGTTCAATGTTAGCTGAATGAAATAGAAAAACAAGGTATGTTGAAGCTTGAAATAAGATAACATTTTCATTCATTTACTAAGCTTGAAAGCAGTCCTTTAATTTATATTCAATGTTAGCTGTGGGCTACTGGGCATGTGAACATGAAAACTGTTCACTGTTGCCAGTAGGCAAACTGGGCATGTGAACATAAAATTGTTCAATGTTGCCTGTGGGCTACTGGGCATGTAAAAATAAAAATGTTCAATTTAACCTGTGGGCTAGTGAGAATCTGCACATAAAAACTGTTCACTGTTGCCTGTGGGCTAAACAATACTGGTTATCCAATAATATTTTTGACAAAAGATAACAAGAATGATGTAATATTATTTTAAAAGCAGGTAAATCTTTATTGAACCAATGTAATCATTTTTTTTCAGATTTTAAAACAATCAAAACTTAAATTTAAATGGGGAATAAGTAGCAAAAGCAAACACTTTCTCCCTAAATACTGTATAAATATTGGAACATGTAAAGCTACGGGATCATAAGTGAATTCAACAATGCCCAGACTAGAGAGAAGATTTTTAGCATACCTTTTCACTTACCTAATTGTGAAGACAATGAAAGATAAAAAATGAAATCAATAATCCAAATGATGATAACTGCAGTTAATCTGACCTACGCTGACCTTATCTAGACATCAATACAAGAACACATTTTTGCCATCATCTTCTGGGTTTCCTCAGTGTGATCATAATACTATATTATTACAGGGTGAATGAGTGCACAGTATAAGAAATAAATGTGGGATGTTTTAAAAAAACACAAAAAAAAGATGAGTTAAGTTTTGGTCATAAAGTTTGCTATCTCCAAAATTGAAAAGGCACTGCTATGGGTTAAGCGGGACTAAAGTTGAAATGGCAGGTCAGAGAATATCAATGCATTGAGCCATCACAGTAAAAAAAATGACAGGCATAATGAAATCTTTGGTTTGGTTCACAATAACACTTGAACTTGAATTGTGTAGCTCCAAATTTTCTAGTCATAATACAATAGGAGCAAAAATATACAGACATTCTGATGTTGCCAAGTATTAAAACAAACAATGGATCAAATGGTTAACAATTACTGTTTAACAGAGATGGCAAAGGGTTGATAACATTAATTTGTGCAGTATTTTACTTTACCATCTTAGAACATAAATCAGTTTTATAACCTGATGAAATGGGTACAGTGTTAGTCCCTTAAACTTATTTGTTGATCGTTTCCTTTGATGTGATGCAAAAATTATGATTAAATCTGTTACACAGACAAAGCTGACCCAGAGTCGAAGGTTGACCTCACTTTACTCAATAAAGTAGGAGCATGGATCTGTTCATATCCAAATGACATGTTTCACATGCATAGCAACAGAAGTTAATTGTATAGATTAAATTATTATCATATTAACAACAATAAAAGAAAACTGAACTTTTGTATGTGTACAAATGTGTAAATAACTTATAATATTTATAAACCCATTTCTTTAAAATGATTTATTTATATTTTCAATCTAAAAAATATGCTTTGTGTCCATCTGTTCTTCTATATAAATTATTCTTTACGTTCTAAAAGAGCCAGTGATATGTATCCACCTATAATACTCAGAGGAAGCTGGAAAATTATAGAGTTCTAAAAAAGGAGTAACCCTTCCCTGCAATATAACTTATTATTATCTATGCACATTAGTTTACCAGCATATGAACAATGCCCCTTAATAAGGCATCAGAGGACAGTTTAAAAGATGTTCAATGACCAATTCTACCAGGTTTGACCAAACAACAGTTTAACATCTGTTAAAAATTGATACTCACAAGCAATCCTGACATTCTGATTGCTCATGGGAAGAGTTTAGCAATGCTCCAAACAAACATTAAAAAAGTTATGATGAAACAAATCATTCCATTTATCTTATGAAGGTTAAAAAGATCAAACAATTTGTTGAAATAAAACAGTATGGGTAAGTTTTAAGTGAAAAACACAAATATGGATAATTTACCACATCCAGAAAAAAAGCGGTCAAATTTTTATCAGATAAAAAATAATTTTGGTTTCTGGCGTAATTATGATGACTAGATTGGAATAAAATTCTCTTCAATTGCCATTTAATTCCTGTACAAATGTACTCAATAAATTGTATACCACATCCCCAAACAAGGTGTCATAACAATAATAAGACATAACTGTTGTCAGTTTAATTTATATGTGACATAAAACAGCTGCATTAAGTGCTGAGAGTCACATGTAATCAGCATACAGTCTTTCTATTTAAATGCAAATAGCTAACAACTAAACTTTAAACAACTGCAGAAAGGTAAAACTGTAATTTAAACAAAAAAACAATGAATAATAAAAAAAAATAAACAAAACAATCTATCACTAGCCCAACATCCTGATCAAGAAACAGTGAACAAGATGTTGTTCTGCACTTTCAGGTGGGTAGGACTGAATGTGTAACTTGGGTACAGTGATAGATAAATTAAAATTAAATTTGCAACACCAAACCTGCACTGGAAATATTGTCCCCACCACCACAGGTCTGTAAAATCTTGGTACACACCAAGACTGGTGCTACGCAGATGTCGTGGTTCATCTCCTGCCAGCAGGTGACTGGACTACTGCTGTTCACAGGCACTCGTCTTGAGTCGGTTCCCGTGGTGATAGAAAATGAATCGTCCAAGATGAGTTTGGTCTTCCCTGGGTCAATCTCATGAGACCCACAAGTGTAACGATGAGCCGTCAGGGAGGCCTTGGCTGCTGCTGACATGGTGTTTTTCCAGGAGGAGTTCTTGCCTGTCAATATGGCCTGGAAGGCCAGAGTGTGGATGTGTAAACGAGACAGCTTTCTTCTGCCATCTACCTGGAGTAATGTAAATATTAAAATAATCATATAAGTTATTTTCTACATTCTCATTTCCTCATACAACAACATACACACCCCCCCCACCCCCTAATATTTAACACATTTTTTTAAAGACCTGCAGCCCTCTTCAGATTTTTTTTCTCCTCACTCTTGCAAACTTTACTGAAATAGTACATTAGGAAATGGTGCCAGCAAGCCGTCAAGCATTGTACCTAGCTCTTAATGCCCTTCCCAAAAAAGCAGCCTCCTTAAGAAAAAGTTACTAGGTTGCCCTATTTGTATACTGTCTTGTAGTTGCAGATTACAGAAATAGACTTGCTAAATTTTGGCAGCCAGTGTTTCCCATACCCAATCCAATATTACTTTGAGAACTTCCTTGTCAAATGGTTTCTGTGAAAGAATTTCCTACACCCCTTGAGAGCCTGTCAGGTTCTCCCATTTTGAACAGCCATCTAACACCAGATATGTGAAGAATATTTGTGTCCTTGGTTGAATATGGTTGTTATTGAAAAAGTGTGCTATTTATTTCGTTACGTTCCTGGAAGAGCTGGAAAAATATGTCCCTCCTTTCTATGTTGTTCCTCTTTAGAATTTTTTTGTATTTTATTTGGATTGACAGCCCACATGACTCAAATTTGAGCCCCCCCCCCCCCTCCCCACTTTTTCCCGGCCAAGCAGGCTGCTGTCAGACAGCTTCATTGGTTGAGGTGCTGGAAAAATATGTCCCTCCTTTCTATGTTGTTCCTCTTTAGAATTTTTTTGTATTTTATTTGGATTGACAGCCCACATGACTCAAATTTGAGCCCCCCCCCCCCTCCCCACTTTTTCCCGGCCAAGCAGGCTGCTGTCAGACAGCTTCATTGGTTGAGGTTTTTACTCAGGATTTATATCCCTTACTTGGCCAACAATTCCATTCAACCAGGCTATTTCATCAGCCGGGGATGATGTCATCCCAGAATAATATGTACCTATTGCTGGCCAGACTCATTGTGGATCAGATGCTCTTCTTTTATGTCAAAGCTCATTATAAAATATGACTAAAAGATGGATAGAATTTAGTAGTTAACCATTATTCTTACAGTAGCTGTGTCCTTAAGCAAGTTATACAGTGTTCTCATCTGGTCCAAAACACTTGCAACTCTGGGATAGCTGTCAGACACCAGGCTCACTGCTTCACCCTTCAGGGCACTGATTAAGTTAGGCAGCTCCTAGAAATACAAGAAAATCAATTATCTTAGACACTATTTTATGTACAAAATATGCCTCACCAAAATAAGGTACTATTTTGCTGATTTCTAGTCAAGAGACAATGAAATATGCAAGCAATGAAAAAGTAAAATAAGTGAAAAAGAGCTGTTGATTAAATTGATTTAACTTGTGTACATCACATAATATATTTTATCACTTGAATTTTTAAAATTTTCATAAGGAATTTTTAGACGCGTTGCTAAAAAACAATGTCTTAAGTTAACCTTACTTAAGGCGATTATAAGCGCCATAAAAAAAAAGTCTATGGAAAAAGTCATGAAATAATTCAAGTAGAGATAGAAGAAATTAAGGAATTTAATTACCTGCTCATTGGCTCCAATAGAGTCTGAGTAATAAATAACATTTTCAACAATCTCTGACAGAAGAGTCATGTCTGTGAAAGATGCCATCTCAAAATGCACACGTGTCGATTTTGGCAAGTTCTTTAAAAAATCTTTTAGCTTTGCCAGACGCGATCGTCTGATCTCTACAAGAAGTTTTAAGTCATATTATCATCATGTTAACTTTATCATCACAGTAAACTAAGTTAAGAACAACAACTAGTATTGAAAGCCAAATAATAAAAACAAATTGAACAGTATGTGTAATTGTCTGGAAGAACTAAATATTACAGAATTAAAGAGCCAGACTCTGATTTCTTTCTAAAAGTGGAGGAATTTTGTAAATAAAGCAGGAATTGATGTGTAAATTTCACCCTTATCATTAGAATTCATTTTACATGATGTGAATAAATACCAAGTCCTCTTTGATTTAACAATTACAAATATAAAAAGTAAGTATAAATTGTTATTTTTAAAAGGATTTATTTTCTTATTTTTAAAAATCTCAATATGATAGCTAAAACTCAATATCCTTATTCAATAATTTAAACAATTATTTTAAAAGACAGTTTGAATCAGAAACATTTTTAATGTTTTCAAAACATTCCTCTTTACCAAGATTTTCATATGGAAAATTGTCCATCATTTGGAGCCCTCCGATCACAACTAGAGCTGGCTTGAAGCTTGTAACAGTTTCTATGAAATCCTCCATGCCCTCTATGAATGGGTTGATATGGTCACTGTGGAGTATCAGCCTGTTAAAATTAAAAACATCATCATATAAAAATTGTATAACTTTTTATGGAGAGCACAATTATTTTTTTTTAATTTCAAGAGGGTTTGTAAATTTTCAGTAATGTAAAATAAAATTATAAGGGAATAAATTAATATTTGCTTAGTGAACTTAAGTGCATCAATTTATTTTTAAACAGTCAAACCTATTAGCCCGTGGAGAAGAGTATTTTCCCCATTTCTCATTAGTTTCATATTCCATGATTAGATGAATGTCAGACTTTTCCACTCCTTTACCAATAACTGCAACAAAACACATTTTTATTATTTATGTTTATTTATATAAAGTAAGTAAGTTAAGTAACAAGTTGAACATTTAAAGTGATATTAAATACAATCAGAAATATTATTTTTATTTTTTAAAAATGTGCAATCTTTTTTCAAAATAATTTACTCCCTTAGTGTATGAAATAAAAGAATCATTCTTTAATTTTAATGCAGAGCACATTTTTATAAATATTTGTATTGCCCACTATGTTTTGGGTTAAAATTATGGTGTTTTATTTTTACCTTTCACTGATTGTGGAAGAGCATTTATGACAGCTGGTGAAACTTTAGCTCCTAAAATAACCTCTAGACCTTCAAATGCAAACCTTCGAGCCATTGCTGGAGCATTTCCACCCAAAGACCACCGGTGGCCAGGTACTTTGGCTGCACCATTTACAAGAACATCAAATAATTCATCATTAGCCACATATCGCCTGAAATTTAAAAAAAAAAGAACATAATTTCCTTAAAGCAAAGACACATTAAAATGAGAAAGAGAATTATTTAGAATTAGACCTTGTCATATATTTAAAAAAAATTAAAATGTGAGACTATTTTGGCCTTTAAAAATTATATGTATTTAATTTATAGAATATAAAGGCTTGTGCTTTAAGTACATTATAAGAAGTGTGGAAAAAAAAATGGGGGGGGGGGGCGGGGGGGACAAGTATAGAGAAATAGAAAAGGTGGTTGGTGTATAAAGAAAGAGAAAAGGTGGCAGGTGCATGGGAACAACCAAAAATCAACAGTTTTAATTTAAGAGAATGTTGCTATTTCATGATGTAGAGATAAAGGAAAATAAAAAAGTTAAGGTGCAAAAAAAAAAAAGAAATAAGCATGTGAAAGAAATGAGCATAAATTAAAATTCAAATTAATTCTTATCAAGAAACATTGATGAAACAGAAACTTATAAGGCTTTAACTATTTTATCCTAAGACTTCATACACAACTATTTTATCCTAAGACTTCATACATATGGGTTCATCTAGAATTGTATAGAGGAGAGGGGGTAAATATAAAATTGTTTTTTCTTTACTATGTGTTTTAGTATGACTTTGTGTAAACTAAATTCGATGTTATGTAGAATCAGGGGAGACAATAATAAATAGATATAACAGACAAGTTCAGGCAGCTACAGTTCTATGCTACAGTAAATTGAGTAATAATGTGAGGATTATTGTTAATTTATTATGTATATTTAGTTTCATTGAAATAAAGTGCCAGTGACTAGTTGCTTGAAGTGACTAGGTAATTTATTTTAATTCCGTTGGTGATGTTTTGATGTGGCAGTGACAGTTATAGACTAAGCTAACTATCACCCCTGTATCATTAACAACTGGGTGAACAATTACACTATATATAGGACTAAATTTTTGAGAATGAACACTAGAGCCAGGGAGGGTCAATCATTCTTATATGACCTTCATCTCCCCGTGGTTGGAGTTTATTTGATGAGTAATCTTATATGTTGTTTGGTTGTATATTTTTATGTTTGTTTTGAGGCAGTGGGAAGGAAGACTCAAGGACTGTCCTGGATAGAACAATCATACAAATGCTAGCTACTAGCTACGCCACTCAGACTCAAGCCTCAAAGACCCCTGGATATAAACTATAATTATTATTATTTTAATTAATGCACTGAGGTCTTCTGCATTATGCTCATTATTACCAAGCTATTGGTTGTAAGAAAAATAAAATGAAATTATTAATAATTAATAATAAACTAAAATATTAGTTACTCTGCAGCTGCCCCATGTTGAAAAAAATAAGCGAATAACTGTGCCAGTTCTTCCTCCTTGTAAACAGCATCATGGTGAATTGCCTTTTTTGGAGAAGTAAGATTGAGAATTTTAATTAATTCCAATCCATCAGTTATAATATCTTCACATCCTCCGAAACCCACAGCGACTTTTTGTGGTTTAAAACTTTGCTGTCCTTTATCTTCTGCTCGTAATAGACCTGACAATACTTCATTCAATCTCTTTTGTAAAATTTCGTCAAAATGTCGCCTATAAAAGAATGCAGCCAAAACTATCAAGACTGGAAACGAAAACCCCCATTTTATACTTCCCGAAACCATTATTTTTTCAGATAATTTTATATAAAGAATATATGTAATTGTGAAGTTAATTTATTTTTTCGAGCGAATCAATGGGAAGGAAACTAGTCTGTTTTCATGGAAATGTTTGCCACAAAAAATATTGTTAAATCGTGAACAGTTTTGTATCCGGTTCAAAAGTTATTATTATTTTTTTATTTTATTAGTTTTATCAAAATAAAAATCTGATATTTTAAAAGAATATAAAAAGGAACTAAATTTTGTTTGAAATTCATGGTAGCATTGTTTAATCCGTTATTTTTTCAACGTACTAAGTTTCTACAATCAGTTTTACGACTTTCATGGCGACTTAAAGGGAGGTTGTGTTGGAGTATTGTGGTGGGGGGAGGGTTCAGTAGGAAAAAGTTGTAATTTCTTATTTATGTTTTAATAGCATTGTCTGTTAAAAAAATGCATTCATTATTTTAGGGGTATAATTAACATTAATTTGCAGTCTGCTGTTCTGCAGCGACATGGGAGTAAAGTTTTCTAATATGGTTGAACTTTCAAGATTTGACAACAGCAATAAATTGGCAATAAAGTTAAACCTGCCTTTTTTTTTTTTTTTTTTTTTTTTTTTTTTTTTTTTTTTTTTGGGGGGGGTGGTTTCTTTTTTATTTTTAACTTTTTTTTTTTTTTTTTTGTTTTTTTTTTTTTTTTTTTTTTTTTTTTTTTTTTTGATTTTTTGTTGTTTTTTTGGGGGGGCTGGTGTCCTTATTAATTTTAACATTTTGGGTTACAGTAACAGAAGGTTTAAGAAACTATAAAATTGACAAAATAGTAAAAATCATTGAGTTTAAAGATTTACATGGAGAAACATCTGCCCTGCAGCACCAATATGTTTTGGAAATATTGGGATCACATAAGCTGTCACAGACAATTTTCGCTTTCTCAACTTTCTGTGCCCATAACGCCAATGCAAATTTTTGCGAGGCAGAGATAAGGGGCAAAACAATATAGATTGCAAACTAAATGAAACTCTCAGTCATAAAGTCCTTGGATTTTCAGCACACATTGTTCACAATACTGTTCAATCAGCAGTGGGGTGTCTCCATATAAATATTGAATAAGTTGTTCATAAGTTCCACTGGCATAGCAAGGGAGGTGGGGAGGGGGGGGAGGTTGTGGACCGCACCGTGTGACACCATCCCAGTGGGTAAATCCAAATGGAAAAAATGCATATTTATATATCACAAACTGCTCGGTCTAATCAAATTTAATTGGAGGGAAACCGATCACATTTACATTTTTCACACATATAGGTCTAACCAGTGAAAACGCGTGATTTATTTAGCATTCAAGGATGATGCGTTAAAAATGAAGTGACCCTTTAAATAGGTCAGGAAAACACAATTTTTATCACGATGTAACGCCGATTTAAGTGTACGGTAACTTTCATATACGTAGCTATTTATATCTAATTTCTGAAAAATAAAGCTTTCCATTGATATCAAATACGATTTAGCCAGTCGATTATAAGTACCCGAATCGAATCGGTAAAAATTAAAAACATTTAAAAAATAAGTTTAAAAATAGAACTGCCCTTTAATATTTGAGGGCGACATCCTACAGCGCAATGTCACCCTCCAGCACCTTGCCAGAGGAGCTCCATTTCATTATCTTTCGTTATTTTAATATGGATAATCAAGTGCATGTGTCCTTAGTTCTGTCAATATCCAACTGGAGCACCGGTAAGCAATGTCCCCACTAAGGTTTGTTGATTCGTGTGCAAAGTCATAAAGTTGTGTGCACATTGTTACAGCATCAATTTTTTTTGTGCGCAAAATTTTACAGCCTACAGTCACAAACACACACTTAAGTGGAAATTAGCTGCGCGGTACTCAAAACTGCTGCGCGGCGTCTGTGAGATTGCTGTGCGCAGCCTTAAAGGGAACATTGCCGGTAAGGATGTCCACCCACAGACTGCAACAGCTACCAGAGCGACACCTTTCATCTATCAGCATTTGCAAGCAGCGGTGGCATATGGAAACGAACACCGAGAAGACGGTCTATTCGCTATTCTCAAACGGCAGAACCATTCTCAAACGGGCGATTGATCTCAAGGTTGGCGATGTAGTGCTCCAATTGGACGAGCAACCTGTTTACCTGGGAGTCACATTGGATCAAATGGTACAAACGCATAATTGTGCACAATAGCTCTGCTCCCAGGCGACCAATCAAGCTCAACCTGTTAAAAGAAATTGTAAAAGATATACAAAGGCGTAGAAGACACCTAAAGACAGATGAAATTGATTGTTACAACTTCATGTACTATCAGTTTTGGATGGTTTTTTTTTAATTCATAGCTCAATGGGACTTCCCAGAATCTCTTCCAATACTTTCGCTAAGTCTTCAATCGTTTCTTACGATCTGTGTCTGTATCTTCATGTGAGCAGAGATTTTCAAAACCAAGACTTATTAATATTTTATCAAGAACTATTTACGATCCACCATGGGAACTCAAGGGTTTCTGATCTAGCTCTATTCTCAATTAAAAGTGATACTGTGAAGGAAATTGATTTTGATCAAGTGTTTGACAAATTTGCAGATTTGAAGACCAGGGAAGGACAATTTTAAATAAATTCAATGGAGTGTAAAAATAACTATAACACTATAACTTAACGTTGTTACAGTTCTTAAATACATTACCTCACGACCTTTAATTTGTATTTTCTCTTGTCATAGTTATACTGTAAAATTATTTTAACAAGAAGAAATCCGTCCTGGAAGACGTGGGAGGGTGGGGGTGACACCAAGAGTTTAACACACCGGGTGACACCATCCCCAGACACGCCACTGATAAGATTTTTATGTACTTATACACCTCTGGAGTAGCTGCCTTACAAGAATGCTGTAATTTTGTTTCAGTAGAGTACCAGTAGCTACTACGCTACAGAAAAAAACAGATGGCTAAATATGATGCGAGCTACACAAAGGATTATAAACATGTTGTTAAAAAAATACCTGGCTGAAATCCTAATTTCTCTCATTAGACAAATGCTCTGTCTTACTTTTTCTCATGAGACAAATGGCATTTCTTACTTTCTCTCATGAGACAAATGGCATTTCTTACTTTCTCTCATGAGACAAATGGCATTTCTTACTTTCTCTCATGAGACAAATGGCATTTCTTACTTTCTCTCATTAGACAAGCTTTTTCTGAAGAGCAATCTGCAGAGCTGTGTTTATATTTAGCACATAATCAGGTAGCATCATTTTAAGCAACTGCAAATAGAAAATCAGACTGCAACATATTTCGAAGTTTAAATATTTTTTTGAAAGAACCTTTTAAATAAAGGTTAATAGTAAGACAGAAGTTCATTCCAACGATCGTTACAAGAGTTAGAGAAAGAGATTAACAGCAAGAGGTTTTATTCACACATGACTGAGTTCTATGCATTGAAGGGCAAATTACCTGGACAGCTGGTGCGAACGTGTCGGCAAGAAGCCTTCGTCAGCGAACAAACAACAGAAATAAAATATTTAAAAATAGCACTTAGCCGTGAAGTAGTATCCGAGAAGGCAGCAAAAGAATCCATTTGAAGAGGTATAAATTTTTGAATGGGGGGGGGGGGGCTTTTGAGAGCAAAACCATAAGGGGAAAAGGTTGAAGGAGCATCAATTTGGTGAATGGCATATTTCCTGGTAAAATGCACAAAGTACTATTCAATGACATGTCACTGAAGAACAATTTAATGAGTGGGCCACAATAGAATTCCCAGGGGAGAAACGATGGTTGACAATCTTTCAGCACTTTGTCAACAATTATGTTCCATGAGATCGTGTGAAACTCACTGCAGAAATTACATTATGTCTTCCAGGGACAAATGCTCCCATTGAGAGAGTCTTTTCTTTGATTAAAAACATGTGGATAACAGATAAATGGCAGCGCAAAGTCGATTCATTGAAACATATGCTGGTTGTCAAAGTCGATACATTGAAACATATGCTGGTTGTCAAAGTCGATTCATTGAAACATATGCTGGTTGTCAAAGTCGATACGTTAAAACATATGCTGGTTGTCAAAGTCGATTCGTTGAAACATATGCTGGTTGTCAAAGTCGATACATTGAAACATATGATGGTTGTCAAAGTCGATTCGTTGAACCATATGCTGGTTGTAAAAGTCGCTACATTGAAACATATGCTGGTTGTCAAAGTCGATTCATTGAAACATATGCTGGTTGTCAAATTCGATACATTGAACCATATGCTGGTGTCAAAGTCGATTCGTTGAAACATATGCTGGTTGTCAAAGTCGATACATTGAAACATATGCTGTTTGTCAAAGTCGATAAATTGAAACATATGCTGGTTGTCAAAGTTGATACATTGAAACATATGCTGGTTGTCGATGGCAGTTTCAATGATTCATGTGACAAATGTTATGATACGTTGTTTAAAAAAGCTGATGCCCTGAGAGCTATCCATTCATATCAGCAATATCAGTGTGTCATGATGATAAAATCAATCATTGCATCTCATTTCTGACATTCGTGGGGTCTATTTCTTTTTCTTCCTCTATTTCTTAATAGCATGTCACCTGTGACTCCAATGTTGAGCTCACCTGTGACTCCCGTGTTGCCTTCACCTGTGACTCCCGTCTTACTTTCACCTGTGACTCCCGTGGTGCCTTCACCTGTGACTCCCGTCTTGCCTTCACCTGTGACTCCCGTCTGCCTTCACCTGTGACTCCCGTGTTGCATTCACCTGTGACTCCCGTCTTGCCTCCACCTGTAACTCCCGTCTTGCCTTCACTGGTGACTCCCATGGTGTCTCCACCCGAGACTCCCGTATTGCCTTCCCCTGAGACTCCCGTGTTACCTTCGCCTGTGACTCCCGTGTTGCTCCCACCTGTGACGTACGTGTTACCTTCACTTGTAGTTCCCGGAATGTGTTCAGATCCAGATAAAATAAATCAGGATAACACGGAAACACGTTTTCAAGTCTCACCTTCTAACAAGATGCGCCATTTGCAATTTGTTGTTTAAAGCTTGATGGTAGCCGGCCCCCATATCATTTACTTCAAGATATTTTTGAAGAGGCTTCAACTTGTATTTGTAAAGATTTTTTTTATAAAAACCAAG